GCCTGGGGTGGAGTGAAGGCGGGTGGCTGCTGGGATGGGGGTCATGCGAGGTTGTGGGGGTGGGCACCAAGGAGGAGTTGCTGAGATAAGGAGCACAAAGATGGGGGGAGGCTGCTGGTAGATGGGGGGGACACGACACACGAGGACAACTCGAGTGGGGCACGTCCCGCTGGTCTTGGCCTCCCCCTTCCACTCTTGCTGTTGCGTGGATTCCCATTAGCCTGCTCTTCGGGGTTGTGCTCCTGCCTGATCGTCCTTTGTTTTGACTCACGTGAAGAGAAAGGAGAGGCAACAGGCTTTGGGATTGCATGTTATGGAATATAAACTGAGGGTGGTCTGGCGTGGATTCGTGCTCAGCCATTTTCCTTCAGAAAAGCTGGTCGGTGGAGCTGCCATCTCCCCAGTCCCCTAAGCTGTGCGGGAAGATGTTTTTGCAGGGTTCCCTTCCTTTTCGAAATGCCCCGTTTCGTGTGGAGTTCGGTAAAACCGTTGTAAAGTAAACAAGGGGACAAAAAATACAGCGAAGGTGGCCAAGCCATCCTTTCTGGCTGCTTTCCATCAACAACTTCTTTCTGTTCTTTCCGCTCTCCTGGGCTACCCTTACTTTGTGCTCTGAAAAACGTCACTTCTTTTGTCACGTCTGTACTTTTTTCCTCGTTGTGCTTGGTTTCGTGGGGGGATGAGGTGTGCCTCTAGGCTGTCCTGGTTTTCTTTCTTGGGTTGCTTACAAGCTGGTTGTGCGCGTGCAGCGTGATGTCGGTTTGGAGATGCTGAGAGTAGAAGGATGAAGGGCAAGGTGAGCTGTGGAAATTTACGGCTCGCTTCCTGGTGTGACCAGCGGATTGTTTCCCGGAAATTAGTGTTTGGCGTTGAATGTTACAGGCGCCGGTCTTGTGTGTGGAATGTCGTCTCTAGGATATGCGTGGGAGAATCTGCACCGTGTACCCCATGGGTGGTGGGAAGGCACTTCTGGAGATCTCTAGGCCAACCTCCTGCCTGAAGCTGTCCTGTTGGAGCAGGGTGCTCTGTGGCCAACCCGGCTCTGGGGACCTCTAAGGATGGCGGTGCTGCCTTTTCTTTGGACCCTGTCCAGTGTTTGATCATGGTCATGGCAAATACTTGTTTCCTTGTGCCTGGTTGGGTTTTCTCATGTTCTGGCTGGTCCCCTCATCCTATCCCTGTGCATCTCTGAGAAGAGCCTGGCTCCATCTGCACACCACTCCTAGAGAGTGTACTCTCATCTCTGTCCGGGTCGTTAAAATATCTCTATGCAGGGCTGGCCCTCAAGGGGTGCCATTAGGAACTTGAAGCCAGGGGAAGGTTGATCCTTTTTGTGTTCCAGCCAGGTTTCTCCCACCTTTATTGTCTGGTTATCCAGGCCACACCTTGGCACTTGGGTTTGAAGACTGGCATGGCTTTTGACACCAAGTCAAGGGTACAGCGCCCCCTGCTCTCCCCTCAGTCAGTCTCTTATCCCAGAGAAGAGTCAGGTGTGATTTGCCTTTGGTATGTTCATTTTGGCTGGTCTCAGTCACCCTCCTGTCCTTCCCGTTGTTGGAAATGGTGTCCAGGATTTGCTCCGTAACCTTTCTGGGCAGAGGGCAAGGCAGCTGGCTGATAGCCAAGGTTATAGTGCTCTGTTGTTGTACATATGGATGAAGTCTTGATTTGACATGTTACCGAGATCAACATATGGATGGATGCAGCTGGTTCTGTAGGAGCGCTCTGAGGAGTTCGTACGATCGAATTGTGTTTGACCTCGGGTGCTGGTGTCTCCATTAATGGTTTTGTGCACTGAAGTTGTGTGTGAACTCCAGGGCAGGATTAAATCCTGAATGGGATTTGTGCATAGTCATTTCATACGCTTCCCACTGGAAGACAAAACATCCAGCGGATGATCTCTTATTATTCTTGTGGCTACCGAATTGTGTTGTGTGAACTCCAGACCCAACAGCTGCTAAAAGCAGCTTGCTCGCTCTAGATCCATAACGCTCCTAGAAGCAAACCTTGACGCAGAAAGGATGGGCATCCCTTCTGGCCTAATTGTGAAACGCCATGAATTTTTGTTTTCAGAAAACAGTACATGGTTCGCTTCTGGGAAAGAAGCATGGGAATGCATGGGATCTTAATGCTGAGCTTCAAGGAAGCGCTGAAATCGCCTGCCTCCAGCCTGGCAGAAGTGAAGATTTTCTTAGCAGCTGCCGTACAGCCATGAAATAAACGGCAGCGTGATGGACTGCGTTTGCTTGGAAGGAGTCGTGGCAGGCTGGCCCACCCCCCGCCGCTTCACCGAGTGGACTGGCAGTCCGCACGATCACAGACCGTATGGGAATGTTGGATAAACACCAGATCTGAGAAGCTTGGGACCTCTGAGCTGGAATTTGGGGCCGCTGATGAAAAAAATGCATGTGGGAGAGAGATGTTCATTGTTCTAGCTAGTGCCAGGCTCCGCTTTCAGGAGAGTGCTGTGTCAGCTGCCTGGAAGAGAACAGGTCATCTGGGTATCAAGAGACTTTCCAACAGCGATTCTGTCTCCACCTTCTCGGGGAGAGTTTAGCTGTAGTACGACGGGTATGCCTTGACGGCCGTAATTGCTCGAGCCCTGCTGTAGGTTCACGCCCCTGTGACATTCCCTTCACGCAGCGAATCAATGATTTTTGCACTTCCATCTTATGCTGATTTGAGGAACTTCAATTTTTTTTCCACCTTCCCTCCTCCTCACTCTTTGTTTTTTCCTGGATTATTTTTAATCTGCATCAGCTACCCGATCTGGTTCACTGTGGGACTGTGTGAACAGCTGAAGGGGCTCAGTGGGAGGGCTGGGAACAAGGGGATGGGGACAGAAAAGAGAGGAAGGATGGAGGAAGAACTACTGAAGCCAACACTTTTGTTGAGACAAATGTCAGTATATGATTTCAGATGAAAGGTTTTTTTCTGTATTCTCGACTTTAAGAGTTACCCTCTTGTTTTAGAGCGTTCGAGGCTACAAAATTATCCCCTTGTTTGAGCCTGTGGTGCGTTTGAGGTGTGTTTGGATGGCGTTGGACGATACGATCGCAGGTCAGCCAAGCGCACCTCACGCATTTAAAGAAAGTGAGATGATGACTGCACAGTGCCTGGCGTGGGTTCCCGAGGTCCCAGCAGCTTTATTCCAGCGCACTGGAGACTGAAGCTTCACGACTGATTTGGTGGGGTCGTTCCTGCTTGCGAAGTGAGAGCCGGTATTGGCATGCCTGCCCATCATGCTTCTCATCTCGGCATAACCATCCCCAAAGTTTTTAAGAATGGCAGCATGACATCACCTCTCCGTTATTATTGGGTGTTATTAGTGCATCGCTGGGGACTGCGGTTTGACCTGCCCCCCATCCTGTTACGTACCCCCGTTTGGCATCCAGACTCTCCTGGCAGTGTGTAGTTCCCAACTGTACTGCTGTGAGCCGGCTGCTGCGTTGGTCCTCCTGACATCACGATGATGTCAGTAAGCTTGCACAGGACGTGCTGTTGAGTCCAGGTCCTGAGCATGTAATTCAGATGACTTCAGGGCGGTGTGTAAACCCTCTCCCTCCCCCTTGCTTTATCAGTGTGTCTGTATTTTGGGTGGCAGAAGGAGTTAGTAGAGTTTTTTGGTTTGGAGTTTGGGGTTTTTGTTTGTTAACTTGCAGCAGAAGTGGAGTGTTTGAAGGTAACTTCAGCTGTGAGAGGTAGTAAATAACCAGTAAAGATAATAAATATGAGCTTATTCTTGCAATTTACTAACAGGTGTCTGCAGCCATTAGCCCTAATAAATATAGGATGGCTTCTATCTTACCGCTTTTCACCAACAGCCAGGCAGTGGGTTTCTTCATCTTTTCCTTTCATTGTTATACAAGTTGATCTTCTTGTGTTTTACTTCCTTTCCTTCCCTCTCTCCCCCATATTGCACTGCTTCACTGTTCATTAGCCTTTAACTGGGAAACATCACATGATGGGGAGTGTTGTCAGGCAGCTTAGGTGTGTTTGGGGGGCTAGACCTATAACAATGGCATCGATAACACCATGGATTTCTAGTAGCTGTAAAGCTGTTTGCAGCTGGCATAATGGAGTGAAAACACTAAGCTTGCTCTGCCTCAGGGGTGGTGGTGGCGGAGGAAATCTGGCTTCCCCCCTCCTTGTCCCAGCAGGGTGATGCTCACCTACTGCCTCTTCTCATTTCTCTTGGATGTCTCTTCGGCCAGGTTGCTGTTGCTGGCCTGTTGGAAAGGCATTGTGGTGACGGAGACTGTTTTCTGCTGGGTTTGTGAGTTTAAGCGGTTCCCAGTTGGGGGACACGGTTTGCCCGCAGTGGGGGCTGCTGGTGGTTTGGTGGGCAGCCGAGCCAAGCCTCAGCAGCGCCTGAGTGCCAGTTTACCCCTTGTGTTTTGCCTTTCAGTGACGGTGAATAAAAGACACTTGATAAGAGATTGTGGAAAAGGGACTTTGAACCTCCTTAAACATCTCTGGTCGTTTAACTAGTGAGATTTGGGGTGCATGTAAGAGATTTTCCTTTCGCTTGCATCTAGTTCCTGTTTTTCAAGCAACTTTTGATATTTAAACATCCTAGCTTTAAATAAATAAAGAGTATTTAATCTGTCCTCAGTAGGACAAGAAAAGGTGGTTGGTGTTACTGCCCGTACTCTGATTTATAAACGACTCCTGAGCGGTTTGGGGTCACTTCAGAGTGTTGGCACGAACTGTTGTAGGTCACCTCCTTGTAGTTCCGCACGTTTCTGGCAACGAGTAACCTCTTAGGTCAGTGTTACTTCTGCACCGAGTGTTTTACACTCTATGTTGTTGCTTTGCAAGATCATTATTGTTTTAAATCCCCAAAGAGGTAACTGACCGAGCCCTTCGGCTGCTTTGCTGGAGCTTCCCATGAGGTTGAGATAACTGGAACTGTTGGGAAAGGTGCTTTTCTAAGATTATTACTGTTCTCGGTCTTTAGTATCTTGGAGCTCACTGCCATAGATCTAATATACAAAGAGGCCTGGCTTTAAAGTCTGGTATGATTCCTTCTCTCCACTTGTAAAACCAAATTTGGTCTGTTGGACTGTCTGTTGTTAACAAGAACTAATGAGTTTCTGCTGTAATTATTTACTGTGTAAGAAAGTGTTGCAGTAG